ACATATCGCAGCTAACAGTCAGGACTGGTGTAACATCGATGATGGTCAGGACTCTGCCAATGCACTGAGCTCGAAGTTAGGGCTGGTGTTGGAAGCGGGGAGGCGGCCCGAGCCCTTGCCATTGGACTAGGGCTTTGCCCTGGCATTGGACGGTCATGGGGATGTTTGTCCTCTCGCTTACTGGAAAGCATCTAGTGGGTGATTGGTCCCCCTTCTCCCATCTCCAGACTCTCAAACTTCTCTCTTAAGCATTCGATGGAGTGGCTGTAGATGGAAGTCAGGTACTTCCATTCCCCTGATTCATCCCAAGCGGCCAACTGCTTTGGCTTCCTCAGTTTTGGCGAGTGAGATCCGTGGGATGAGATCAATGGGAACTCAGCTTCTGCAGCTTTCACGGTGCTCTTCCGTGGCTGAGCTGTCTCTGAACACTAAGTTCCCCCAACAAGTAAGGCTCCTTCTTGCTGCACCAACAGCTCCAGTTGGGCCTCCCTGGCTTTCAGTCTCGCTTCGGCAGCCGGACCTGCACTTTCCTCTTGGGTGGTAGCCTGCGCTCCATCTGCTGCCATAGCACCAAAGCTTGCAGCCGATTTCCCCTTCTTTTCCATCTTGGCGTTTTCCCTGAGTCTTTGTCATCCTCCCAAAGGTTCTGGGTAGGACCCCGCGTTTTAAAATAAATTGGAGTCTCAGGTTAATGTCATTGTTCTGATAGATGAGACCAGTAAAAAGAACTCCAAGGCAAAAAAAATTCCTTAAAGAACATATTTATTTGGCTACATAGTATTGGCACGATCAACAGTGTACCCAAGACTGAAATTCCCCTCCTAAGGTTACAATGTTACAAAGTTGAACTTCCCACCCAGTAATGTGTCATAAATTACAATCCCCAATTACCTACTTGTGTGGGCTTTCTAACGGAAGCTTTAGCCTGCCAAAATGCAGCCAGCAATGACCTTGGTTCCAACAGAACAATTTATTGTTTTGACTAAGCTAGAAAACACTCATTCCCCCCTCCCAAATCTGTGGCAACCGAAAATGAAGGGAAAATGGCTTCAGCCAAATTTGTTTGTAGAGTTGACAGTACCGCTATTTTATATCATCCCCGTGCAATTATTATGGATAAAATAGTTAACTTCAACTTTTAAATTTTCATCCTTTAATAGCATATTAATTGGATTGTCTGCCAGAATTAACAAATAATAGCATTTTAAAAGCATAAAACATGCCAATCTCCTCCAGTAGTAGTATTGCAGCCTTTGCACAATAGAATTCTGAATTTTACAGAATATCATCAATGGGCTTGGTCCTATTATGAATCATATTATGCTACTTGTCACAGTAGCATATTGAACATTTCAGTGGAACTCCCTGCACTATTGCCAGAGTCTACCTGCTCTACAGCAACCATATTAGTAGAAAGTCCGCATAACCTGTTGTTGAAAACCTAGAGCTGGATCTCTAGATGTCCTAGAGCTTAATTGTGGTGCTAAAAATTGGAGTACCTCTGCCATACATTTCCTATAGCTTTTGCCACTAGCATGTTGTCAGTTGAACTAGGAAACATGATTGATAGCTCAGATTATCATCTAAGTAAAGTAGCTGAAAAGAACAATCAGCTGAGTAAAGACCTTATCACACACAGTAAACGTCTGAGTCACATATGGTAAAAGCCCTTTGTACAACTCTGTCCAAAGTTCAGCTAAACTAATTTTGTGGAATTAATGAGATTTGGATCTAACTTTAGTGGAAGTATTGCAGTCTTGGGTAGATTTCTTTGGAGGAGAAAGAAAAGCAAAATGCATCGTGTCTGCTGGTGGATCATGTATCTGCCCCCAGGAACAAAATGGGTCTGGCTCATACCTGAATATTTGGGATGTTTCTAGAGCAGAGTTTAATCTACAGATATTTCGCCTGCTGGAATTTGTGCATTTTAGAATGAGATTAGAATTTAAGGCTATAGCTGGAGGAGACTGAAGTATTTAAGAAAGTTTATGTAATATATTTGTATCTCTGTATATAGATATTGTTTTCTCTGTGAGTAGGTGTACAAATTCTTACACATATTCACAATGATCAGAGTTCAGCCTTCAGTTTATCAGTCTGATATTTTGGTTGCAAAAATGTGATTTTTTAAAAATTATTTTTGTGAAAAGCAAGTCTTGCAGATCTTTATCACACTTTATCTCCCCCCCCCCAAATTACAATGGTTAGTTTGTGGTCACTATTATTTCATTTTCTATCCTTCATCCAGCCAAAGTTTTCTGCCTTTATTACCGACTTTGGCTTTCATTGGGTCTTAACCCCGAACCATTCTATTAACTTATCATTAGAGAGGGCAGCAGTTCTAATTTCCTCTATTAATATTTAGATTACTATGATTAACAGATTGACTGCCAATAATTCTAATATATAGAACTGTGACTGAAAGAGAAGTACCAGCAAAGGCAGAATATAGGCTCTCATAAGACAGTTCCTTGAACTATGGCTAGGGTCTGAAGCTATAGCTCATTTCTGCAGTATGCATCAGCAAATGAGCAAAATATAGAAGGGTGTCCATTCCCTGATGCTGCTGTAAGTAGCTAGTCTTAAAGACTGAGATATACACTGTTGCTGAATAGTTTGTTGCAAACGCAACAAAATCTCAGATGAGCCCCAAAGGAGATGCAGCCTAATTCCATACTTTGGAGAACATTAAGAGTCAAATGGAGGACAAACATTATAGATTTTAGAAATTTTGATTGGGTATTTTGTGAGTCGAGAGGTGTCCTTGTAGATACCCAGCTGGATACTATATGGCATCAGATCCAGAACTCTGGCTTTAAATAACTTAATTGCTGTTGAGATGTAGTTGTTGCCATGTTGACTTGCATATTTGATAATTGCAAGGGATACTCTTTATGCTTTTACATTAAATTCACTCATTTGATTAGTCCAGTAAATGGAAGATTGAAAATAAACACATAGGTTTGAAAGTTTAAGTTGCTCAATAAGTTGTCTGTTGATCTTCCAGATTATTGCAAACTTTAAAGCACTTTCTTGAAAGTACCAAAACATTGTTTTAGAATAATTATTTTCAAGGAGGTCCCTGGAGCAATAGAATGACAAGGTACATTACATGCCCACATGAGTTACAGGCATAATTATTTTCAAGGAGTTCCCTGAAGCAATAGAATGATATGGTATATACCCACATGAGTTATAGGCATAATAGATACATCATCAGCATATAGGAGAATAGGGATAGCCAAAATAAAGCAGAATATTTGGGACCATGACTTCCAGTCTAATAGAACTAATCTTTCTTAGTGCAATCTTACCACCTTTTGGGATTATTCCTAGTGGGGTTTTTTTTTAACGTTTCACATGCCCCACAAAATCTGTCTGGAGTTGATACCTGACCCTTCAGTTGATAGCAGGCATATTTTGTCCTCCCATATGAAAATCACATCTAAATAATAAAAATAATGCATTATTAAAATGCATTACATGGAGTCCTCAACTTACAACTACAATTGGGACTAGAACTTCCATTGCTAAATGAAGTGGTTTCTAAATGAGTCACACCTCCTTTTATCACCGTTGTTAAGAGAATCACTACAATTATTAAGTGAATCATGTCATTTAGTGAATCCAACTTCTGTTATTGATTATGCTTGTTGGAAGCTGGCTGGGAAGATTGCAAATGGCAATCCCGTGGCCCAGGGATACTGTAACTGATATAAATACGTGTCAGTTACCAAGCACCTGAATTTTGAACATATGACTGAAGAGATGCTGCAGATGTTGTATTTGCAAGGACTTTTCATAAGAAACTTTTTTAGCACCAACGTAACTTTGAGAACTAAATGAATGGTTGTAAGTTGAGAACTACAGTACCTCTGGTTTATACATTGTATATACTTTATACACAGTGGTGAACAGATCTTATACTACCTACTGTTAAAAAACCTAGTGCCTTCTCTGACTATGGGATGACCAGTCTTCTTTGAAGTTCTCTCCAAGAACATTGCAACATTTTAGCAACAGCTATGACTTATGGAAGCCATTTGATGCCCTCTTCCTATTACCAAGTGCTTCAGCCTGATCTTACACTTTTCCTTTTTAAATAAATACTATTGTGTCTGCTTTATTTGATATATATTTTAATTACTCCTCTTGGAATGTAAATAGACTTCAGAAAAGAAACATGTCAACCATTTTTACTTAATTAAACCACTAAACATTTTCCTTATTAAAGAAATATTTCTGGTACATCTTTTTCCTTTCCTTTCCTTTCCTTTTCTTTTCATACCTTTCTGGCTCTTTCTTTAGTATAAAACTTTAAAGGTAGATATTTACTACTAATTTCTAGTATTAACTTTTATTTTGAAAATTGGTAGCTTCAGATTTTATACCAAGAATTATAACCCTTTAAAGAGATTTCAGAGCTCTAGCTGGAATAATAATTTTGGAAAAGTAGTTATTTATAAGAATGGAATAGTTTGTCTCTTTCACCAAGCTCATAAAAGGTGACAGTGATTCTTATCTATTTCATTCTATATCATATGCATATTGTGGCAGTTTCTCTTCTCTAAGTGACAAGGCAGCCTTTTTAATAAAATATAGTGAACTTTGTATAATTCCTTTTTTCTCTTGACAAAAGAGGAACCTTTTCTTGACCCTTTTCAAGGAAGTAAAACTCTACAATAACATAATTTGACTACTTTTGGAGGACAAAAATGATTCTTGTTCATTGTTCTTTCTTTCAAAATGATCCTCATTTTTTAAAAAAAAAATCATATGGCAAAATCTGTAGCTCTTTCTTTTTTTTTCTTTCTCTTTCTTTCTTTCTTTCTTTCTTTCTTTCTTTCTTTCTTTCTTTCTTTCTTTCTTTCTTTCTTTCTTTCTTTCTTTCTTTCTTTCTTCCTACATTGTCTGTAAATATGTTTCTTGATATTTCATTTTTCATCATTTTATTCTCAGCAACTATCTTCTTGTCTTCTCCATTTCTCTGCTAAATGCAGGGGATTATTATTGCAGGAGAACAACAGGTTTTCAGAAGCACTGCATTATTATAAATTGGCTATTGGAAGCAGACCTACTTTAGCCTGTAAGTAAAGTTGCATGCTTGTTATATTTAAATACACTGTTCCTTCTCATTTGTCTTGTGTTATAAATAAAACTGTTAAAAAGAAAATCTGTAAGCTGTACTTAATTCTGTTAAATGTGAGCAGATCTTTCCACATGGTTCCAATATATTTGATAACACCTGGGCCATCCTTACTGTAATGTGAAGATGCTGTACTATGGTAAAATAGTTGATCTTGGATGTTATCCAAGAGTTCAATACTATTTATTTTATTGTTAGGCAAACATATTTTGCCAGAGTAACATGTTTGATTTTGATTTGAGTAAAAGAAGCTGAAATATGCTCAAATTTATGGCAGTAAGGGAAGTGAGCTGTTTGATAGAGAGGGTCACATTTTTAAGAAGCAATTCAGGGTTGCTGGACTGCTTCAAGCAAATTTGGTAAAAGACTTCTGTTATTTACTTCATCTGATTACCAACCTTTCAGGGACGAGGTCAGAAGCTAAACCAGGATATTAGATTATAGGGGTAGAGAAACAGAAAATTCATGCTACATATCATTTCAATCTCTTGTATATATGCTTGTATGTGGAATCTTCTAATGTGTGAAAGTCCCATGAGTGAATGAGGAGTCTCTCAAAATTCTCTTTGAAACATTGAAGCCTGTGACTTCTGAAACATCCATATAGTACTTAAACACCTTTAATTGGTACTTGTTCAAGTTTAAATGTAAATTGATGAGAGGGTCTAACATTTCCTTCTCTAGAAAGAGAGAGCTGAAAATGTTACACTCAGGCAATAAAGCAATTTAAGTTACTCTGCCATCATCCCAGATCCAAAAGTCTTTAATTACCATAAGATTACCTTGTTCACTTGGAGAGCAGTTATTGTTTCTACTGAATCTACTGACTCTCAAATGTACTGAATTTGGGTATTTTACCTCTTTTTATGATTATGACAAAGCTGTTCTAAAGAAATATTAGAGAGGAAATCACCTTGGTTGACATTTCAATTAATTCTAATGAAATTCCAGTTTTAATATTTTGTTGTGATGGTACTCATTTTTTCTTTAATTAGCAATCTATTTCCTATGGCAGTTATTAAAGACATCAATATCTTGTAAAGAAAGTCTTGATTGCTATAGAATTAGAATGGATAATCTATGACTTTAATGAAAGATAATTCAATCATAACAAGTTTAAAAAATGAAGGACCAATCTAGATTTGAAGAAACTGTCAACCTGTAACTATCTAATTTTTCTGGTTTTAAATAACTTCAAGTATAATAGGATCGTGTATGAATGTGCAATAGCTACATTTCCCTTTCTTTTTTTTAGCTGCTTATTTAAATACTGGTATCATCTTAATGAATCAAGGCAAGGCTGAGGAAGCCAAGAAGACATTTTTGAAGTGTTCAGAGATTCCTGATGAAAACTTAAAAGATCCTCATGCTCATAAGAGTTCTGTTACCAGTTGCCTTTATAACTTGGGGAAACTTTACCATGAACAGGGACAGTATGAGGTAAGATTTTACAGTAACATAGCAGCTATCTATAATTTTAATATAATTGTGTTTTTGTTTTTTTTTAAAAAAAAAGCCTCCACTTCTATACTAGAATTAGCTATTGGTTGTCTGGGAGTTGGGTGGCATATAAATTGAATAAATTATTATTATGGTTCCTCATCCAGATGTTTAGACTGAATTTTAATTTGACTGAATTAAAAATTCACTTATCGATTCCTTCCCAAGGATCTGGGATAGGCAGATGTTGTTTGATAGTGTTAAAGGTATCATCTCAGGATGTAAGCTGTTCCAATTAAAGCTGCCTTTTGCAATTGATTCATGATGGTTTGGTCAATGCCACCACAGTTCAAGTAGTGTTCCAGATATTTTGGGATTGCAGCCAAAGTACCTAGAACTATTGGTAGTATTAAAGATTGCATAACAGTATCAAACATGGTATCTACATCTTATACTTTAGACCATAAAGCTCTGACAAGCTTTTCCTAATACATTTACAATTTAACAATTTATGTCTTTTTCTAGGTTATTACTGGTAGAATGGAAGACTAGTGAGATGGTAGCAGCTATACTTTATGAACTAGTTTACTGGGAAAACATAGATATTATAGTATATAGTGCAATACTAATTCATTCATTAGCAAATTATCCTTTTCGAAATGATATACTGTATGAACATGGAAATAATAGCATTTCCTGATATGGTTTAATGTACTATTTTTTCCTAGTGAGACCGAAAAAATAGGTTCCTCTTATTAAGGGTGTAATACCAACATCATCAAGCCACCAGAGTCATCGATGTGAGATGGGCCACTGTATAAATCAAATTGCTCAGCCTATCAGTCTTACAGTAGAAACATACAATTGGAATAAATGTAAATTTATATACTTGTGGGATATGGACAGTGTACAATTTGACAGCTTCAAGTAATGTATAGCTTCATTTTAAGAATAGGTAATGATCAAAAATCACAGTAGTTTGACCTGACATATATGTGTTTTATTTTAAACCTAGAAGGCTTTCAGGTTAATGTGACCTGTATTACTTTATGCAAAGCAGTAACACTTCCCATTATTATCAGCAAAATTTAAAAGTATCATTCTGATTATTACCATTTTGTAACATCAGAATGTGTTCTAGGAAATTCTAAGGTATTTTCTTTTCCCATTCTTAAATGGCAGGTTTGAATATTGAAAATTGCTCTGTTTTACATTGAGAAGATTCATGTCAACTGTATAATTTTTACATAGATTGAAATTAATCCATGTTAATCTTCTGCAGCACAAACTGCACAGTTTGGTACCACCTTAGAGATTTTTTTACATATGCTTATACAGAAATCAATTTGAAGGTGTCATAAGATTCATCATTATACATTTTATTAAATGCCTATTTCTTGTTACGATTAACAAAGGCATCTTTAATTTTACAATATTTTATATTACATTTATGCTTCTGAATTTGATGTTATTGTAATGATATGTTTCTCAACACTTTGTCATAGGATGCCCTTTTAGTTTACAAAGAGGCAATACAGAAAATGCCAAGACAGTTTGCACCACAGAGTTTGTATAATATGATAGGTGAGTCTAAGCAAACATCTAAAAATATTTGTGTTAATTTTCTTCCAATGCACATACTTTTGTATTTCTGCCAATATTGGACATTAACCAAAGTATTTCATTTATGATATGTTTTTGGCTTTAATCAAATCTTCAAGGTTTACATTTATAGCTTACCCCATATCACCACAGATAGCATTCAAATGTATAAATCAGAACAATTAATGAATAAAAAAGTCTGTGTAGCTTTTCCCTATGTATTCATAAAGTGCTGTCAACAAGGCAAAACAAATTTAAAATAATATATGCTTATCCAAATATACTAATCCTGATTCCAAAAACAGATAAGATTTGCCAAGTATTTCCAATAAACTGTTTCATAGTCACAGTATGGGCATTAGGAATGGCTTTTAGGAACTAATTTGTAGCTGATTAAAGACTTTCTAGTTCACATAGGCTAAAATGTGTCTTGTACAACTTGGTGCTATGACTGCAATAATCCCAAATTCACATGGCCAAAAAGAATCACAATAGTCCAGGCTCAAATGTGGCATCTTCTCTCCCTCCCTCTCTCTCTTCTTCTCTCTCTTTCTCTCTGTCCCTTTCTCTATCTTTCTGTCCAGCATTTCCCCCAGCAACTGAAGTGGGCTTTAGACCCTAACACCTTTACCCTAACTAGCAGGCAGGGCAGCTTGCTGATTGCCTAGTGCAGTCCATGGCCACCCCTCCTCCCCATTTTCTTTTCTTTTTTTGTTTGCTTCCTCAGGCCAGCTCTTTTGGAACCGGCCCAACCAAAAAAAGCCATATTTCACAAAGACACATGTTCTTGACATTCTTGCTGGATTAATTGTGAAATCAATTGATTAATAATTAATAGTTAATGTTATCGATTAATTACTAATTAATAATTATTGAATTAATAATTCAATAATTATTATTGAAAAATTGTTACAAAGATAAAAATATGAATAACTAGAAAAGAAACAAGGAAAATGAGGAAGAATCGTGAATAAGTAAAAAAAAGAAAAAGGAAAGAAAAGATTATAAAGAAGTGGCTTCCAACCTTTTTGACAGTGTTTATAAATGAATTTATATAATACCCTCTCCAATTGTGGTACAGTTTGATGTCATGAAACATTTTCAGAATGATATTTCTTATGGATTGAAAGGATTATGTTTTGGCACAAAAGAAAAAAAAAGAATTTAAATTGAATTCACCTACCTGCAACTAAAAAGCATTTCTTGTCCAATAACAACTCATAGAAGTTGTTCTATGAGTTTAAATAAAAAATGGTTGTCCAGATGTCATTTTTTCAAAGATATAAGATTTGATGGGTATAGATCTAGAGATCCATATCAGTTCTCATCAACTGAATGTTAAGACCCATCATCATAATTTCTTCACTATCATCTGATGGGCAACTTTTCTCCACTTTCCTAAAGCCCATGCATAATACTTACCTGTCTGAAGTCTGAGTCCTGTAAATTTAGTGATTAAAAAAATTGTGTACCAAGGTTATATATTAGAGCATACCAAATAAAAATACTTTTACAAAAAATCCCATTCCTAAACCTATATTGGTTTGATGTATGTAAAGTATGATCTGATGTAAAGTATGGTCTGATATAAAGTAGACACCAAATTATAGCCTAGAAGTACTAACTAAAATAATTTTCTAGATTAAATTTTATTATTAATCTTAACAATTTAGAAGTTTGGCAACACTGAATGAAAGCTACTTCATGGCATCCTTGATTACTTTTAAAATATAGAATTCTCCTTTATAACAGTTCAGATTTTCAATTCATTTTCTCAGCTACAACTGCTCAAAAATAATTTGATATGCTGTCATTCTTTTTCATCAATATATCCAATAATTAAAATCATTTCTCACTAAAAGAGGTTGAAATTATTGAACAGATAAATAAAATCCTATGGTACAGAGGAGAAAAAGAAATTCCGGCTACTTGTCATTTTGCTTCTGATTTTTAGAGAACTGGAAACTTCTTTTGTATAGAAAATGCCAAAATTAGTTATCAGTCAGCATAATATTCCTCTATATCATATTGTTAATAAAAATTAAACTTTGAGTTTTCCTTGAGTCAATTTAATTGGGTAGACTGAAAGACCATAAAAAATTGTATAACTGTCTGATTTTTGAAGACAGCAATTGCTGATTAGGAAATTACCAGCTATTTTGTTTCCTTGATTCATGATGATTTACCCAAGTCGTGGTTTTACTGGAAAACTGTATTTAAGGAACTTTATGCAAGAAATGCTCTTCACACAGAGATCATCTGGTTTAGACTTGTTTCTTCCCTTTACTTGTGAGAAAAGTAATTAGGCATAAAGTAATAGAATAATGGCAGTATATCTGCTTTAAGTGCAATAAATAAAATAAATCTTTTAATGTAGAAGGTTTTATCCTTTACTGAATGGAGACATTTCAGCTATTAATCATATTTGGAATCAGTTGGAATTCTTTCATATTGATCCTTCTGGATATTGTAGGCATTTTGATAGGATGAAGTGTGAAATTTTAAGCATCTGAATGTTCATCTAATTTAACACAGCTGTTTTGTAGTAGTTTTGCTTCTGACAGCTATAGCAAGCCAGGCTGATGCAGTCTTCCAGAAATTATAAGATTCTCTTGACTCATGTTATCACTAATGCAATTTCCATCCATATTAAGCTTTTTGGAAAAATATTCTGGACACTGGACATCATCATATTCCTGTTGTTATCCAGTCTTATGGATAAGCATGCACAAACATCTGTTGGGAATTTTCTTTACACATAAAATTCATATTTCTAAAGAAGTCAGTCATAAAATCTTAGTCTTAAAAAAAATTCTTAATCTATATATTTCTTTTGCTGCAAGTTGACTCAAGGTTTTTAAGAGATGTGAGATATTTATATAATAATAGTAATATCATATATATTCTGTTGGTGACATTCTGCTAAAGAATAATGGAATAATAACATGCTATTATGTAATATATATAATATAAATTATAAATATAAATTAATTTGTATTATATCTGTATTTTATGAATACACATATGCATATATTTATATATTAATATATAAAATACATCAATTGCTTTTATCAGTTTATATGTTCTATTAATACATTTTTATGATTTCCTATTCTGCTTTGTAGGAGAAGCCTACATGAGACTTAGCAGATTCTCTGAAGCAGAATATTGGTATGTGGAATCACTGCACTCTAAAACTGATCACATTCCAGCTCATCTCACATATGGGAAACTTCTTGCTTTAACGGTAAGTAAACTATCTGGAAAATAGCAGTAAGTTTTTTAGCAAGAGAAAAACAATCCTATCTGTCACATGTTTGTCACATACAGACTCATCTCACTCTTTCTTTATATAAAATATTATACAAACAGCTCTTTTTTCCTATTATTTGCAAGCTAAGAACTCTATCTTGAGATCACCTTTGCAAACCATTCTACTGTTGTTCACAATCCATCTACTAGGGAAATACATAAAAAATACTGACAGATTTAGAATGCATGCTATTTGTCAGCTTTCTCCTATATCTTTCTTCAAATTTCTATCTTTCCATACGTATTAGACTACCAGAAGATTTAGTCCATATTAGTTGGGTTTATGGGAATTCTAACTCCTTACCTCTTTAGGGTGAGAACCAGTGTAGTGTTGTGGTTAGGGTGCTGCAATAAGTGCAGGAATACTCAGATTGTAGTCCACTCATAGCCACGAAGGGCAACTGGGTGATTTTGGATAGTCAGTCTTTCTTAGCCTTAGACAAGGAAGCCCCCAAAAGCTACCAAGTTGCACTGAACTAATGTAATCAGTAAAGAGACTTTCATTATTTGGTAAAATAATTCAGAATGATGATGATGATGATGGTGGTGGTGGTAGTGGTGGTGATGGTGGTGGTGGTGGTGGTGGTGGTGATAGTATAGATGCAGCATCTATAATATACTAAATTAGGAATGGCTTTTCCAACTGGAACAGCAGACAAAATGTATGCTGAGTTTATCTGGATATTATCTGGGTAATTTGCTGATCGACTCAATAAATAATATTTTAATACAGTTCTCCCTTGATTAACAGGCAACACCTCCTCTCCCCAGTATACAAATGTAATGAATTATCTTATTGTTTTTGATGTACAAACTATTCATTGCCTGTTCCTGATAGTATCAGGAATATCAATATCTTATAAAGTATGGTTATGGAAATTATGCAGTAATATCCTTTCTCATTGGTGGCGTATACTTTGTCCAGCTGAAAGACAAGAAAACTGTGGCAATTTCTAGTTTTTCTTTATGTGTGAATTAACCTATTGTGTCTTTGATAGCTAAATGGTAATTTCAATGGGGTGTTTTTTGACCTAGTACTATATACTCTGAACAAAATGTTCCACTCCCTTTAATTCATTTAAAGACTTGTGTTTCATTTTGAGTATAATATATAGTATGTTGCTACTTAAAATTTTTGCCTACTTTTTTTAAAAAAATATTGTTTATCCATTTTTTGGGACTTCAAAATATTATGCATTATATGTTCCTTAAAACAATTGCAAATAATGCTACTTTGCATCATTTATCTGAGGCTTGAGGGATAAATCCCAGTCTGCATGTGTAGAACCATAAACTTGTCTTACACAGTAGGGTCTTTTTGTTATTGTTGCTTATTTTCTTTTTTTTTTTAGAATATAAATTTTACATTGTTCTATATTGCATCTGCAAGGGTAAAAGAATGAAAAAATTGTGGTTAAGGTGTATGAATGAGAGCCAGTATAGTGGTTAAAAACACAGGACTAGAAAATTGGAGAGCATGAATTCTAATCTTGCCTTTAGGCACCAGCTGGGTGACTTTGGGCCAGTTGTTCTCTCTCAGCTGCAGAAAAAAGGCAAGGGTAATTAGCCTTCCAAAAAATGTTTCCAAGAAAACTTCAGAAAAATTGTCCATGTAGTTACCAGGACGGAATATTGATTTGAAAGCATAAAAAGGTACTGTATGTGAATAAATGGCTTAATTAGGTGAATAATTAGAAAATGTTATAGACCAGTGGTTTTCAACCTGTAGTCCATTTACCCCTGGGGATCCACAGTATCATCACAAAAGATCAGTGAAGGCTTGAAGAAATTTTATAATTTAAATCTTGAGTTAAGTCCTGGGGATCCATGGCCATGGTCCGTGGCCACAAAAGATGTTTAAAGGGGGGGGGTCCATCTTGAAGAAAAGGTTGAGAACCACAGCTGTAGACAATCCTGAGCTGTTCATTTGTAAAACTGTATTCGGCAATCTCAGTGTATATGCCAGAATAATTATCAGCCATAAATTATCAGTCCTAAATTCCTAATATGATTTCATCACTGACAAATTTATTATGGCTTATCTGTTGTGGATTGAAAGAAACTGCAGAATGATTACAATTACAATGATTACAATTCACAAATGTAAATAATAAATGCATCTAGAAGATGCCATAAGACTGTTGGTTTTCTGAAGAGACTGACACATCATTACCTATTACCTATTTTACATCTATCCTGTTAGATGCCAGAGGAGTGACAAGTTTCCTATGATGGTGATTTTTTTTTCTTTTTATACCTTTTAAGTCATGACTTCATATACTGTCAGTGTGTAATTGTAGATGACTGTTACCAATACCAGTGCTCAGATTGTATGTTTGGGAATAACTATACCTGACACTTAATGCTTCTTTGCATTTGACCTCATTATCTTTTTTAAAAAAAACAAATTGAAGCTTCCAGGGAAGTTATAATTACAGGATTAGAGCATGAATGAAAGGAAAAACTCTTTTCTTCCCTGGTTGGGTCTTTAAAAAATCTATTTTTGGAAGCTGGTTTTGGATGCCTATAAGTAGTGCTCTCACCAATGTTTAACAAAAGATTTTAGTCACAATTATGATAAGGACATTTAGATATCTCTTGGGCTGTTGTGACCTTTCCATTACTTAAAAAGGTATATTTTGGTCATAAAGAAACTATTGCAATAATTATATCCATTACTTTTAGTTTATTTAAAAACATTCCTTTTAACTCATTAGTTCAGTAGCTGAAACTAAGTCTTGCTTTTTTTAATGCATTTTTCTATAAGGTAGCAGAATCTTTCCCCTCACTCTTCTCTCCACTTCTCTTTGTTATCTGAACCTAATTACAATTTTGCACAGGATTAGATCCAGCTAATTACATCCTCATCATAAACTATTTCTGGCAAAGGAGAAATTTTGACATGAGATCAGAAAAAAATATATCATTTTTTTTCTGATAAATATTTGAGGAAGGCTATAGTCCAGACATGCTTCAAAGAACCAAAGTTACGCAGGTATAATATCAGTGTGATGTTGGTTTCCTGTTAAATATGAGTAGCACTTCATTTATTTAAATGTTTCAGACACACATATACACACAAACAGCCGTTTAAGCACAAATACATATATCTTGATACTAACAATTCTCATATAGGATCTTAGGAGGAGACCACGAACAATATAGGTATCATCTCTGGATTCAGAATTTTTTTAATCTAGTAGGTATTTGGAACAATAGGACACTCTCTCTCTCTCTCTCTCTCTCTCTCTCTCTCTCTCTCTCTCTCTCTCTCTCTCTGTGTGTGTGTGTGTGTGTGTGTGTGCACGTGTGTGCACGCGCGCTTGGACCCACACACACATGCCTGCCTGCCTGCTTGTCTCAAGGCTATTTTCACAGAACACATTTTTAAATGCAGTTGTCACACTTAAGCTTAACCCTGTCCATATATGTATCTAGTTTGCCTGAAAAAAAAATTTTTTTTAAAGTGAAAAACATTTTGTTATAAATTGAGTTAGATTTTTAAAAGGTAGAAATAATTACCTGGAAGCATATATGGATTTTTATAAGAAGATTATTCAAAACTGATTTTACTATATTAACCATGACTATTAATACCTTATATCAGAGGTCCCCAACCTTTTGGGTACAAGGGACCGGTTACATGGAGAGAGGTTTTTCTGCAGACTGGAGGGGGTGTGGTTTTGTGTGCTGCCTGCATCCCACGGATGGGGTTTTGCTTGTTTGTGCGGCCCGATTGCTAGCATGCCGCGGCCTGGTACCGATCCATGGACAGGGGGTTGGGGACCACTGCCTTAGATCAATATACACACACATACATACTTGTAGGGATCCAATCATGAAGCAGTACAAATATACCTTGATTCTTCCTCCTGCATTCCCAATTGCTTGTATTTGAAATATCAATTTGTCCAAACCATTAAATGCAGCATTCAGACAAGGAACCTATGGTTGTAATCAAGGCCATAACAGGAGATAAAGAGTTAAACTTTAGATCCCTTTTCTAGAATCCGTCATCCTTTTCTATTAGAATCATATTAACGCTTCCAACGTTTGCTTGGAAGTAAAGAAAAAGAAATGTCTATTTCCTCACCTGTAGTCAAATAACTACAAAGGGTAGTTGAATCTGAACTGGAATGGAATAAAAAGATGGGTAGTAAAGGTAAAAAGGTAAAAAGGTGGATGGTAAAGGTGAGAAGATAGAAAGATGGATGGTATCTTCATTACAATTATTAAGATAGAATTGCAAGACATATTGCAGAGGAAAATAAATGTGTAAACTAATTTGTATTTAATCACAGGAACCTTTTCATATTACATTAAAAGCATTTTGTGAACAGATGTCGCTATTGTTAGCTTTCTCATAAATGAAAGATAATTAGTAAGACAGATACCTGAATTAGACATATTAATCTAGAATCAAAATGGGGCTCTTGTATTAATGCTGAACAAATACGTGATAATGAAGTATGCATATTCATGAAGCCCTAAAATACCACTCTGTATAACCCTATGCAATAACTATTTCTATCATATAGGTGTTAAAATCTATCTCTGTTAATCTGTAATAAATGAATGAAAAATATTTTCTATCTCTTAGTATTCAGAAATAACATTTAGAACTTAAAAAGCATAAAAATCACTGGTCATTCAAACAATAATAAAAAATGTGCAGTGGTATTAACAATGCAACTATATTTTAACTCTGTTTGAAACTTGTTTAAAATGGAACAAAATTTAACACTGATTCTATGAAATCTATAATTCCTGTAGTACAAAAATGATATTGCAAAACATGCCTGTAATGTGCTTACATTGTTATTTAATTATTTTTAAACCATA